ACAGGACAAGAGAGGGTTTTCAGGAAATACTGTTAAGATATAATATGTTTATAGAAATGATGAATATAAACAATTATTGTAATAACCAGCACACACTGAAATATTATTTTTAACATTTATATGGAATGCAATGCCAATAGAATTCCATGTGTAAAGCATTTGTAAAGCACTAACCTGCACTATTAGTATTTGTCCACAAGGTGTCACAATTTCCACCTCAACAGAGTTGAAATGGAATCTTTAAGGCCACAAGTTCAGCTTCAGATTAATGTTAGCCCGCGACTTTGTTCCAGTTTTGAATTTTGGCCCACTGTGTATTTGAGTTTGACACCCCTGAGATAGATAGATAGATAGATAGATAGATAGATAGATAGATAGATGGATGGATGCTTCAAATTATACCGCAATATAGATTTTAGGCTATATTGCCCAGCCCATAGGAGACACCCCCTAGGGTGCTAAGATCCTGTGGGACTCCCAGATACAGACGGACAAAATTGTGATGGCTAACCAACCGGACATAGTATACAAACAGAAGAAGATGGCCGTAGTGATAGATGAAAGCAACTTCAGGTGATGTTGCTGATGTTGCTGTCCTAGGGGGCGTCTCCTAGGGCTGGGCGATACAGCCTAAAATCTATGTCGCATTATAATTTGAAGCATGTGCGGTAACGATATATTGTGATATATCTATCTTATATCTCTTCTCAAAATGACTGAACATACTTGGATACCAGATACATTGCAGAATAATAAACACACTTCAAAACCGTACAGAATGCCATTTCGAGAACATTTATTGTGCAAAACTTAAAGAAGAATGTTTAAATTACAAAACGTTTCAACTTTTTCCAAACAATGTAAAACAAAATTCTTAAATAACAAATAAAAATGAAGATAAATGCACAAACATTTTTGAATAAAAAAATGCAGGTAAAATATCACTAAAACACAAAATTCTAAGTTGTTTAAAATAAAGTGCAAAATGTAAATAAATAAACATTACAATTCTTCCTGCTGTTTTGATTAATTATTTATATTGCACAAAAATAGAGCTGCACATATTTGAATTGAAAACCCTATAAGTTTAACAGGTTTCTTGTCTGTTAAATATAGAACAACAAACTTCAAACTTGCAATATGTAGCACAAATACAAACAAAACATCAGTGTTTATGGTCCTTGTGTGCAAATCAGAGG